TATGTATGGTACAACTATACTATACCATATGTATAGTACATCTATAGTATAGTCTAATCCAACGTTACACGTTACAGTTTTTACTTTTCTAAACTTCCTAGTTTTCGCCCAATAAAAGCTGACTTATTTCACATTAAATGTTACAATATCTGTTAATATTCAGTTGCGTAGAAAAAAATCTTTGATCTACATGCAGTTAACGTAACGTTCAATGCATCGAACAACATCTCATCGAGCTAATTGCTCTAACGGACTGTGCATTGATGTCGATACTTGAATAGTCTGTGCGATTGTGTTGATCTTTTCTTGCGATTCATTCCGGGCAATTGCATTACATCATATACTATATTGCTTTACATTTCGATTCACGTTAGATATATTACTACGTTCACGCGCTTCTGCGTTCTCGTTAATATACACGTTCGAATAAATTTGTTCCACGAACGACAAGAATGAAACTGGGATCCCTTAACACGTTGACTGCCATGTCAGCCATATCTGGTTGACGGAATTATTTGTTCAGATTTAAAAATTAATTTCTACAGTATTCTATTGTATCTTCTTAGTTTTATTATGACCTGCAAAACGTAAGAATACTGAGAGAGAATGTAATTAATGCCGTGCAACTTAACTTCTCAATTTTAAATTAATTCAATAAGATACTGCGATTTTATGACATTTTTAAGATGGTTGGCGTGACAGTCGAAATTTCTAATTTTCATGTTCAAGCCAATACGGTGTGCATAGTAAATATAATTAAAGTATCATCGGTAGTCGTACGGTGTCTCTGAAATCCCACCTCGGTGTACGAGGGTTAAAATGCATTGAATTCATCTTCTTGTTGCAGGCATTAGTATTGGGCTTCGCAGTGCTGGTGCAGGTAGCTATCATTGGACAATGGTTTTACGGTGAACCGCCAGCCGTTGTTCAGGTACACAATACAGGATCAATCTCTCCGACATCCTGTTGCAAAACTCCTCTCGGACAGATTGTGGCCTCCCTCGGGTAAACTTTTGAAATGTAAACCTTTCAGCGACACTGTTCTTTCGGTTCTTGCGAATTGGCATTGCAAATGATAATTGTCACGTTGACGCAGTGGGTACATGACACGATGACAGTTATCAGCATCGAAACAAATACATATGCAGATGACTGTTGGATGTAAATTCTACTACGTTCTAACACCTATTTACCTATGACCCACAGATAATAAATGAAAATCGGAAAAATCTCCTTTAACAGTTGCATTTATCTTTGAATATATTCATATACATGAAAACAATTCTTTTTGCAAATAGTTGGCGATTAAATTATTTTTAAAGGACCTTAACACTCAGACGGATCTCGGTTCTATTTGAAGACACAATATAAATACTGTTATTTGATTGTATAGGTTTTGACAATTAATTAGATTTTTTAGACATTTTTTTTATTGCAACAGTGCATGTGCAATTAAGTTACATCAGATTTTTTAATGAATATATAGATCGATTCCTTACATCTTATATAGATCGATTCCTCCGTTCATTCTACGAACAAAATTATCAGGATATCATAGCAAAAAAATTATTAATTTTCGAGATATTTAAAAAAAAAATATCTTTATTGAATAATTTGAATAATGAACACAGGAATCGATCTGCGTAATCAAACATACATGCATTTTCATTTAAAGGAATTATGCAATTGTTAATTGTATGCACTGATACATTTAAAAAAGAACTAAGGGCCTACAGATGCAGTGCTCTTCGAGCCATTTATCTTTCATCTTTGTCATTTTTTCGTAAATCCACGAATAACGGAAGTATGATCTGAGACAATTGCGTGGATCACCCTGTAGAAAAGTGAACGTATCTAGCAGGAGTACATGTTACAAGAATAGTTACAGGGTTAAATCGAATTAGTAGATTATGCTGTATTCTTTCCGTTTTCGTAAATCGAAAATTATAAAAAAAAGGCATGAGTCTTCTAACTAATGAAACACAATACTCTGATTTTCTTCAGAATGTTTTTGTTATAGACCCAACTTTTTAAAGAATACAGAAACTTAGAAATGCTGAGTTCATATTTAAGCTATCTAATCAGATCACTTATATTTGTACAGTCTTATCTCGGTTATTAATGTGAATTGTTTTCAGACTTTTTGGAGAGTACTAGATCAAAAAATTTAAAACCGCGTAAAATTTTTGAAAAAATGCAATTGTTGTAGTAAGATATATAATTATAATTTTATAGTAATCTAATAGTCTAATTTTATAGTGAGATGTCATCTTAAGCATTGTAATTAATGTTTCTACATTTTTTTGAAACTGCAATCCTAATGAAAAAATAAAAGATCTATTTATGAACCTTTGTCAGTGCCAATATAAAGTCAGCATTTTCAAGTTCCCTTATTATCCAAACAATTGATTTTGCAACTAAAAATTCTGAAGAAATTCAGGGTATTGTACCCCATTAATTAGAAGTTTTTCATAATCTTCCATTGACAAAAACAGAATAAATACAGCATAATCTATTAATTTAATTAAAAACTCTAACAACCCTTGTGGAGGGAGTAGCAACTTGAAACTGGGCTCAAAGGGTTTTCCATAAGTGGTCTATTGAATGGTCTAAACAAAATTCAGTTCGGTTAACTTGGTAACGTTTGATCATTTTATCCGATTATATCTTATAAAACTTCCGGGAAGTTTATGATCGCACCTCGTACATGTATTGCAGACACGGTACGCTCAGAATTTCGATGGTTCGTTTTCAGGTATCCTGGGGCTCTTCTCGTGGCCGTGGCATGTTTAGCAGTCCGAGCACGAGGTGTGCGAGACAACAACCGGGAAGCGGCGTTTATCGGCCTCGCGGTTGGTTTATCACTTCCGATTTGGATATCGAGCGCGATCGGCTCGGTGGCAGCGTCCTCGGAAAGCGACAGAGAGGCCTGGCTGGCCTATGGACTGTTAACTACTTCCCTACTGGTGTTCCTGACGATGTTCCTGCCGAAGGGTCGGCAGCTGGCTGCGCTTGGTCGTGAAGCTCCTGATACAGTGATTCGTGATCGCGACGACGCCTTGAGCTCGCTTCCTGGCAGCGGTTACTCGCCTTCCTTCTTCCACTTTAAGCCGGCCGAGGCTTCCTTGAAGAGAAAGCTGCATTATCACAGTGCTGGTATATTCACAATATTTTCATTTGTCGGATTGTCGGAACAGTTTTTAACAGTTTTTTAACACTTTGACTGGCACGGCAGCAAACTCAAAATTTTCAAAGATTAAAGCATTTTATTTAGTCAAATTGAAATTGAAAAGTTAAGTTTTACAACACCAATTACTTCTTCAACACTCTTATGTTTTGAACTTTATGTTTTGAATCTTAACAAAATTATGGAGATATGATAATAGATTAGTACAAGATTAATTTTCAGGCCGTCAAAGTGTTAATGATTAGAGTGATTTATGCAGAATAAAGATTGTTGCCCTTAATTATAATTAGATTGCGGATATTTATACATTTATGCCATGTGAGAATTTGTGACATACAAAAAAGCATTTATATTATGAATAAATTATAGCATTTTTGGTTTAATTTGGCTGCAATCTCCCAATCAGCGAATAGACATTTTTTTCTTAAATGAACCGTATAAATAGAAGATTGCATAAAGAATATAAAAATGTGCAGTCTAATTATAACTAGGGTAGAGTCAGTTTATTTTCTTAATAGACTGAAAATAATGAATCAATATTTTATAATTCTCCTGATTTTTTTTACTTTTTTGTGTTTCTTCTATTCATTTCTTCTGATGAATATATAAAATTCGTACTCTACATAATCAGTAGAACTAATTTATTGTTTAACATACAACAAAAACTCCAATACAATGTCAAGTAAAATTTATTAAAAATTGTATTTTTGACGAAAGCTGCTAAATGAAGCATAGAAATCTGTTAAGATAAAAAAATTACAGCAACGTACGTATTTATAAGTATTGATATTCATACACATTTTAAGAAATTTACTATCACTTCTTTTACACGATACAAAAACGAGTATCATTATTTTGTACGTTTGCAGGCTTGCCGTCGTTGTCACAATTAACGTTTCTGAAAAAGATCATTTTTAAGGCCTGAAACCGAGCTACACGCAATGGCGATTTCACTGTACTTTTTTTTCTGTCGAAGAAATGAGTTTCGCCCGTGTTTTCGTGCACGCACGAACCATTATGTTTCTCCCAGTATTCGTGATCCCCGTTCCGTTTCGCTCATTCGATACGACATTAACGGGTTCGTCATATTTCTTTCATAATGGAATCAAAATCATCCACTTTTATTGTACACTAAAACTAACGAGTTCATTAAACTCCAATTAATTTAATGAGACAGCACGTACAGCGCACATCGGATACTTGAAAAAATAAGAGCATTAAATAAGATGTCTTAATACGAGTATAGTGAAATTGACAATAAAACTTTACGTTGTTAGCTGTACTTTTCGCTTGTTCACAATATTCGGCGAAACTTCGCCAATACATTAGTTCAAATAGAAATGAGAAAAAAATATTAAACGAACGTGGGTTCTTTGAAATTCTATTGAGAAATTCTAACGAAACTACAAATGTTTATTCAACTACGATGAAATTAACACATATAATAAACTGCCATAAGGTGTTTATAATTAAACATTGAAATATTATTATAATAGTATCTTCTCAGGTAAAATGAAATTGAAGCAGCGTTTATTCAAAAATGATATTTTTAAACAATTCATTATGGAACATGTCAATGATTGTTTTTTTAAATACTTCTTTTTGATATAGCCTTTTACTTGTTCATTATTTCTGTATTACTATATTTGTAAGTTTACTTTTCTTTGTTTGATAATGGTTTAACGATTACCATATATTATAATGTCTCCGTAACTATATCTCATTAATGTACTTTGAATTGTAGATCGTGTAGCATTAGTTTCATCCGCTTTACCTGGATGCACTGCCTGCAGGCACGGTGGAAGTCCCATATACTCCGAAGGTAAGGCTTTTCAGAAATCAGCTAGTTATTAGATGCCGGTATTATCGATTACAATAACTTAGGAAGCATGTCGAACTGTTTACAGTCACGCGAGGCTTAGCTTTTCTCGGACCTCTCATGAAATTTCAATGAAATGCTTTGTAGGCCTTGATTTATTTAATGACAGAACCACAGGCAGTGGTCTACCTTCAACATTCTACGTAGAACGTGGTGAAGATAAAGAATTATTTAAACGACAATTCAATAAAATATTGCTTATTATCGCGTAGCTTCTATTTAAAGTTTTGTTGCGGTTATTTCATTCATTATTTATTGTTAGACTGCAACGGGTTATTTCTTGCAGTATCTTACGAATGAAGAATATTTACGTGCCGGTTGCATTAATAAAATAATTCATTCGACGCATTTTACTGTGTTTTCGAATATTCAATTGCTATAAACGTGCATAAAATTTGCAATCGACGTTTACCATTCTATATAATATCACGGAAATGAAATAGGAAATCATTTTAGCTTGCAATCACTTTGGCATGCTGAAAGTAATGTAACAAGATTTACAAATCTTTCTAATGTTTTCGCTGTCCTGTGTTTTATCTAGGCACTTTTGTTACAAATGCATAGAATTCACGGTCTAATAATAATCTTATGCGTCGAATTTTATAATTTTGTCAAACGTTTCCTTTGTTTCAAATTAGAAACCGTGCAGAGTAAAATTTAAGAGAAACCGAGCATTTCTAACGTGTACTTTTGTTTCCATGTACTCAAAGGGTTAAACTATTGTTAAAAATTAGTATAACTTTTAAATGATGGTTTCCCTATTTCAAGAATTTCGACCCACAGTATTAAATGTTGGAAAGCGTACAATTTCATTATTTTTACACTGCATAGTTTTTAACACGAAACAAAAAGACTGTTCCACACTAAATTAAATGATTCAAAATGTGTTTGATAGAGGAAGAGTAAAGCTTGAAAATGACGCAAAACGCAATCTAAAACAAAAGTTCTTTACAACTATAGTAAACGATTCAAAATGTATATGAAAGACAAAGAGTGAAACTCAAAAATACTGCAAAACGCACGCATGAGAATTTGTTTCCAAGATAAAATTTCCCTTAGAACCATAAGTGCGGAACTTAGCCCAACAGAAGCAGGGTAACGGCTCGAAGTTCTCAGTTAACGATTGTCGTCCATCATCTCTCTCTTCGAGTAATTTTCGAACAATGGCAGAAAGAATCGTTCAGGAAATTTCCGGGCTCGTTCCTTCGATGTACGTATATTCCCCTCCGAGACTTTTCCTCCGTTACGGCATTGCCTCTGGCGACCTTCACCTCGAGTAACGAACGAAAGGGAGGAAACATCTCGTGCTGGAAAGGTGGAGAGGGAGAAAGTTTCGAGGCGGAGGTCAAGCGCTTCTACGAGAATTAAACTGGAAGGGGAAATGGATCCCGTTAGATCAGACGACGCTAGTTAATCGGTGTCTTGTTACTGGTGAATGATCAAGCTTTTTTTTCACATAGACAAACATGACATTTTTCTCGTTTATGGAACACGCTCACTGTGCGGTTTCCATTTTGCGATCACCAATGTACTGGGTGTCACAAAATTATTTGTTGTCGTAATGTGATTCTATAATTTCTATTCGATAGATATTGACATAAGTAACTTGCCACAAAAATCACCCTGACCCGAAACTTAGCCCTTGAAGATTCTAGGTTAAAAATCGCAAAAATTTGTTTTCATTATATTTTTTAGTCTATTCGTCGCGAGGATGAATTTTGCAAGATATTACGTAAATTTCATTTTTAATATTTTTGATTTTTCACTCTGAACTATTGTAATTTTATATAAACGAGTTGTACAGCAATAAACCTCGACTCATTTTAAAGCTCGAAGCTTCTACTTTCGCTTCATATCGTTCAATCTTAACCCGAAGACAAAGATTTATATATATATATATTATATAATATTTATTTATTATATATATTATATATTATTATAATATATATATTATAATATCTTCGAAAGCATTAAAAAGCTTTTTTCACGAATGAACTTAGAATAGGTTTAAAGATCATTTTTTCATTTTACAACGGTTTCTCGAAACTTGGTGTACGATTTTTTTAGTCATTTTACACAACAGAAGCGGGAAACGCGTTCATCGTGTAAAACCTTCGCGTACCTTTTTTTACCGTAAAACAGATAGCACACTTTTCATTCAGAGCTCAATAAAGTCACTGAAAAAAATCGTACATCAAAGCCTAAGGTATCGTTGTAAAGGGGAGTCTACAATCTTTAAATCTATGTTGTCATTAATCACGAAAAAATTGTTTCGATGTATTTACATGCATTTGAATCCGTAATATTCTTAAGAAAGAACATGTCTCCAGTTTTGTATCTGTTGAATTACGCAAAAACATGTAACAAGAAAATGAACAGTGCATAGCAAAACTAAAAGCTCTAAGCTTTAAAATGAGTCTAGGTTTATTGTTGTCTGACAGGATTTACAAAATTGTGACAGTTCGAACGTCGACAATTTGTCGAAAATCGATTTAGTGTACGGAAACTTTCTCGAGCCACAGTATTTCTATCGCAATATTATCTCCAAAATAAATTTTTCTCAAGTATGTCACAGTCTCATTTTTATTACTTCAAAGTTTGAAAAATTCGAACATATCTTGAATTTTTTAATTTGGTTAGAAGTTTCTGTTGTGTTTCAGGTTCAAAATTATACAGTATCAAAAACACGAATATTTTCGACATGTTATTCTGTGTGGGTTTAATTAAGTAGTTAAAGACAGTTGTGTTGTACATAAAAATGATTCTTTTTCACCATTCTTCATGTTCAATGCTGTGTTAACTCCTAGATACTATTGATATAAAAGAACATGTTCGGAAAGCATTGATTTGACTTTTGATTGACTTTTAACCACAGTAAAAAAAAAAAGAAAAAAAATGGAAAGAGAAAAGTAGAATTTTAAAATAATATAAAACATACTCGTAATAAAAATTTTGTCTATACATGAAAAACGAAAGAAAATGTATATGGACACGATTATTTGATTCTTGCGACTCGTTTTTGTAGTTACCGATTGTCAAAACACTATAAAAACGAGACGCGAGTTTCGAATAATCGTATCTCCTCTTCCCAAATTGTCCATTTTTGTTCGCAATCTGAGCGCAAATTAGGGAGAAGTTACTGTATTTCACTATTACTTTAAGATAATATCTTTGTATTTATTTTTTATTCTGATACCACACTATCATGATAATCTTTCCATCTCCTCATAATAACTTGAGCACTCACTGTAGCATACTTTGACTTTGTAACAGCAAATAAGAAAGTGAAACTAGGATGAATAATCCATACTTCAGTTCCTGACCATACATATTACCATTACTTTAGACCGAGTTCTCTGATTAAGACAACACACTTCGGTAAACATTACATTAACACATTTATTAAGCATAAAAATATATTAAAATATTAATTTCTTCATATATAATATTTAATATCTTTTTGTATATCTTCGTATTTGCTACATAATTGAAAGTAGAAGGCAAAATTTATACTTATAAAAAGAAAAATCTATACAGACGAGTATAATAATTTTTTCTAGCTCCTATGTGCTTATTAATTATTTTTGTAGTCACAATGTTAAACTGACCGACCCCAAAATTTTCTAAAAGGGATAATAATTACAATTAAAACAAACATCCAACGTTTATTTTTAAATAATTAGTTTCTCTTTACATCGCAGATTTTTGAACGTTAAACATTCGAAATACATGACTGGTTTAGCGCTGTCATAAGTCTCTTCACTGCAGTATCCATTGTTGCGAGTAGGGCATGAAATATTCAATAAATTGTAAGACAGAGTTCACTAACCTGTAAAGTCTACAATATCCGCTCGTTTATGACATTAATAATGATTATCATCAAACTTCGTATTGTATGCATTCATGATAACAATGAGAAGTTAATGTATAATGCAAACCCCAGTGAAAACATTAGAAGATTTTAAGACCACTGTTATAGATATTATGTCAAACTTATTAAAATTATAAAAAGATAAAATAATTTGTTATTGAACTTTTGATTCTTTGCAATCAATGCGAAACATTTTTCTTTTATTTGCAGTCTAATAATTCCAAAATTTAGTTCAGCAGCTTCGAACTCAGACGTTTTGTTACCCTTAATTCCTCTTTGNTCAAAAACACGAATATTTTCGACATGTTATTCTGTGTGGGTTTAATTAAGTAGTTAAAGACAGTTGTGTTGTACATAAAAATGATTCTTTTTCACCATTCTTCATGTTCAATGCTGTGTTAACTCCTAGATACTATTGATATAAAAGAACATGTTCGGAAAGCATTGATTTGACTTTTGATTGACTTTTAACCACAGTAAAAAAAAAAAGAAAAAAAATGGAAAGAGAAAAGTAGAATTTTAAAATAATATAAAACATACTCGTAATAAAAATTTTGTCTATACATGAAAAACGAAAGAAAATGTATATGGACACGATTATTTGATTCTTGCGACTCGTTTTTGTAGTTACCGATTGTCAAAACACTATAAAAACGAGACGCGAGTTTCGAATAATCGTATCTCCTCTTCCCAAATTGTCCATTTTTGTTCGCAATCTGAGCGCAAATTAGGGAGAAGTTACTGTATTTCACTATTACTTTAAGATAATATCTTTGTATTTATTTTTTATTCTGATACCACACTATCATGATAATCTTTCCATCTCCTCATAATAACTTGAGCACTCACTGTAGCATACTTTGACTTTGTAACAGCAAATAAGAAAGTGAAACTAGGATGAATAATCCATACTTCAGTTCCTGACCATACATATTACCATTACTTTAGACCGAGTTCTCTGATTAAGACAACACACTTCGGTAAACATTACATTAACACATTTATTAAGCATAAAAATATATTAAAATATTAATTTCTTCATATATAATATTTAATATCTTTTTGTATATCTTCGTATTTGCTACATAATTGAAAGTAGAAGGCAAAATTTATACTTATAAAAAGAAAAATCTATACAGACGAGTATAATAATTTTTTCTAGCTCCTATGTGCTTATTAATTATTTTTGTAGTCACAATGTTAAACTGACCGACCCCAAAATTTTCTAAAAGGGATAATAATTACAATTAAAACAAACATCCAACGTTTATTTTTAAATAATTAGTTTCTCTTTACATCGCAGATTTTTGAACGTTAAACATTCGAAATACATGACTGGTTTAGCGCTGTCATAAGTCTCTTCACTGCAGTATCCATTGTTGCGAGTAGGGCATGAAATATTCAATAAATTGTAAGACAGAGTTCACTAACCTGTAAAGTCTACAATATCCGCTCGTTTATGACATTAATAATGATTATCATCAAACTTCGTATTGTATGCATTCATGATAACAATGAGAAGTTAATGTATAATGCAAACCCCAGTGAAAACATTAGAAGATTTTAAGACCACTGTTATAGATATTATGTCAAACTTATTAAAATTATAAAAAGATAAAATAATTTGTTATTGAACTTTTGATTCTTTGCAATCAATGCGAAACATTTTTCTTTTATTTGCAGTCTAATAATTCCAAAATTTAGTTCAGCAGCTTCGAACTCAGACGTTTTGTTACCCTTAATTCCTCTTTGTTACTCTTTAGCTTCTCACTGCATTTTGCAATAATAATAAGCTATATATTCAATAAATTTCGTAGTAATAAATATTATAATCTGTCAATTCTCAAGATTCATATACAAGATTCACAACAGTTGTTTTAAAAAAAGCTTTGCTAACTAATTTCTTTTTCCATCTCGTTCGTGCATTCTGATAATTTCGTGGTCATCTTAATTGCAATATAAAATTCACGGTCACTTACATTACTCCAATTTAGACTTCCTATTCATTTTACTGTTCGTGTTGCGGAGCAGTTTCCTCTTCCACGAAGTTATCAGTCCGTTTCATCCTGTTTTTATTACTTCTTCGAAGTGATTCGATTTCAGTGACAATAAATTACTCGTCCGTTGCAAGAAACTTTCGAATAATTACACGGTTGTAAAAAGTATGACAGATGTGACCCACTTGAAATCGCGGTTACGTTTGCCAAGTAATCGGGCCACTGTTTAAATGCGTGTCCATTTCGGCGTTTTGCGAAGTTTATGAATAACGTTTATGAAACTGGTTTGCTCATAACGCTACACAGAAGAATGATAGAGTACCGTAGATAAAGTAATTACTATAGGCACTGTGTGACATGCGACTGTATTATGCACAGATACAACTATCGCTGCATGAGAACCTGCAGTGTAATTAAATAATAATCTCAAGAGTGACTTTACAATACTACTTCTATTTGATTTTCTGGTAACGAAATGTCTGGAAAGTTATACCATAAGTAAATCTATTGAGCTTACTTAATAGCTTACTTAATAGGAATTGAAACACGTGATTGATAATTAGAATTGTATGCTTACCGTTGGGAACCGTCATGGTCTATAGTCTATACCATAAACGATACAATATGCGATAAATGTAATAGATCATATACTTTCACCACTGCTCGAACATGATATCAAGATTTGGTAAGACATCAATAGCAAATCACGAACCATGACCAAGTTCTTAATTTAATATGTGTTTGCTTGATAATAATTCACTCCTGTCATTGTACGTTTAAGATGTTCGCAATGTTAAGTGAATTGACTTAGATGTCGTTGCTTACCGTAATTGGCAAGGTTTTGTTTCAATATCATAAGGTGTAACAAGTGCAGAGTTTTATAAATAATATTTAACGCTAAACCTACTGATCTGGTTAAAATTCGCATCTTTTTGTTCTAAAGTCGCTGCAATTATGAAGACCTTTTCATGAAAAATAATTGAATAAATTTATTAATCCAACTATACATTATAATAAAAATGACGAATGGTCTAAATAAATACAGTCTTTTTCATCGTTATAAAGTAACGCACATCAGATACTTTTAGGACCCGACAGATTTAGTTTTAGTGTAATATAATGTGCAAAAATATAAACAGGAATTCGAGAGATAACAGAACGGACGCTAGAAAAATGAACAACAACTGAACACAACATTTGGTACACTCACTCTCTTTTACACCGTACATTCAAACGTACACGTACACGTTGTGCCAATTATTTTCTACCACTCACCCTATTCGTACAACGCTATTAATTATATTGATACAAACATTACTATATAAGACATAATAAATTACAACAATTCACATGCTTTCGCTAAAGCTTTGGTTAGCACACAGCTCAGCAATCGTTAATTAGTTTTTTAAAAATTCTGCTTTATCATCACAAGACTGCGGATCTTTGTGCAAAATAGAAATTTTCTAACTCAATTCTAAGAAACCGAAATTAAATAAAAATGTATTTCCTTTTTTAAGAGAAGATAACGATACTCATATTTTTCTAATGTGTTCACATCTCATGGTATTTCATCTAATCTTTTTTTTTCATAAATTTTTTATCATCTTTTTCAGTCACAATATATAGTCTTTTAATTATATTAAGTCATTAAGTATGAAATGCATAGATCTTATTAATTATAGAGTAAAGTATGCATTTCATACTTAATTACGTTATTTCTGACATTGTCATGTACATATTCAGCTTCCATTGTTGACAAAGCCATCGACTTTTATCTTTTCGATTGTCGACTAATAGGATATATCATATATCATGATCTCCTATCTCCTGTATCACATGTCCAATCTAAATTTGTAAACGCAGTTAACATTTCACCTGCCCTTTGTTGTATTAATCAGAACATCTGTGAAGTACAATAAAATTTGACATGCATAAGCTTAGTCAAAACACTTGTGAAATATATCGAAATAAGCAACGTATAGAATATTTGACTAGTTAAGACATTTTTTTGTGGAAAAATAGAAATTAGAAAAAGAATTTAGCACTTTTATAATAGTTTCTACTAATTTACAATCAACTGTGTTAAAGTTGAACAAATTACAAATGTATGTTAATGTAATGAATGCAACGAACACAAACGTTGCATAGTATCTTGCAATCGGAAACAAATATTACTTTTTTCTTACCATTGTTTAATCTTTAAATAAACATAGTAAATTATTAACAATAGAACAGCTCTGATAAGCACATCCGCTGGGAAGAAAATCGTAAGACAGGAGGTTAATGAATATAAAATGTAATGCTGACAATGATATCAACAGGGACAATTATTAAGAAGGAAACACTTGTGTTCGCAGATGTTCACGGGCCGATGGAAACATTCGTTTTGCCACCTGGGATGTACTTGAGGCCAGAAGAGGCTGGAAACTTATACACTACCCTATCGGCGAATCCGAATGTGTTTTTCCAGCGAGCGGCTCATCCAGGAATGATGTATTAATTGACAGTTCTGTGTATGTGATAAAAGAACGCTTGGTTTCTTAGATTAGATAGCCGCGAAGAAACAGACTACGGTTTCCGGCGTTCGGCTTGTTATTGTCATTCACATTATGCGCGAGTATCATCTGAGACTTTGGTGTTCATTTTGCAGTGACGGTGCTCGATTATTTCAATAACGAATCAAACGAGAGTCCGCTGGAAGCGACTTTCACGAAAAAATGTAATAAAGGTACGATATACCTTCTTTCGTAATGTCTTTTTTTCTCCATCACTTACATATCATATATTGTATAAGATTTTCACGAATGCCTGTTTCAATTATTTTATTATATTCAGCATGTCGATGTAAAATATCTTTGTAGCACGTAAGATTAAAGACTGGATCTTAATATAACTTACGAGTGATTATTTATATGCGGAGGCATATCTCATCAACTTCGATGACCTTCGGATATGAACTCAACAGTACAGGGAAGACTAAGGAATTTTAAAATATTTTTATATTATGTACAATTTGGTGAAATTATTGAAAGAAGATAGGCATTTTTATCTGACTTAAGTTTCTTATAATTAACTTGAACAATTTTTATTTTGTGGAAAAATGTGCAGTCGAACACTAATCTTCCATTTCGATAACGAGTAGACGATTTTTATAGGCTCTCCGGTGTACAGTTTTTGAGATTTGATTTTGAACGAAAGTCGAACTTCAGATTTAACAATTTTTTCTGCATTTGTCATAAAAGTCACGTGAATGATTCTTACGCAAAGCTTTTGTGAACACCTTTTTACAACAGTGTGATCACTGAAACATGTTCAAACAATGTTTAAAGACAGCGAAATGTTTTAGACGCGTCATTTCTTAATTTATTTTGAAAATTGAGGACTTTAGGAAAAATCTAACTATACCATAGAGCAGACTTAAGAATAATTGCATCTTTTGACATCATTTCCATTAATGGTAATATAAGGTAAATTTAAATATGAATCTAATATTATAATCTATATTATAATCTATAAATTACCTTTTCTGTTTCTTATCCAAACCCAACTGAAACAAAAAATAACTCCTCTAAGTCAGGATTAACTCAAAATTTAATTAAATCTGCCAAAAACATGCTTCAAATCCGTTTCAAATTTTAATTATCTGAATGGTGATTACACATATAAGAGAGGACACTAGAACAATTGACTTTAACAATACATTTGAAGGTCATCGGAATCAACTGGATGTACCGTCTCGTAAATGATTAGCAATTCTAGCTGAACGATTAAATATCTACGAGATACCACGAGATACTACAAGATCCTTGAATGATTTCTTTCGATTTTATTTTCCGTGTTAGACAACTGTGTTTATCTCAAAATTCGTAATTATACAGAACATAAGTTTCCAGAAGAGAATCGAACACGTAATTAATTCGCAAATTATTAACCTTGGTAATAAAATGCAAGGTAATCCGTTTAATTGGACTGGATGGAATATTTCGCGAGGGATTGAAGTTATTAAAAACTTGTTTTCATAAAAGTTGCTTGGTATAGAGGGGGACGTTAGATGGTACAAACAATGTTTCCACAGATATGGTGATGGGGGGATATTGAAGTCAAATTAATATTTTTAAATGGAACCCTGTATCTTTTTATCCATAATATAGCGGCGTTTGTTGAGACGAATACAATGATCTACGACGTGATATTATTCCAAGTAGTAAAATGAGAGAGAGATATAAATATGTGATCCAGCTAGCCGAATCGAATAATGCCAATTCGACTGTGTCCTATCTCGAACCTCTTCACTCCCTTCTTAGGTTTTTTAGGCTCGTGCTTTTAGTTTCTTATCCTACAGTCAGTCTGAGAAGTGCCTTCAGTAAGTCAAGAAATCACGAAAAGAAACAGAAAAAACCAGAAAAGGAAAACAGAAACAGTGTAAACCCTCACAAAATCCAAATCCAGTTAAACGGATCACCCTGTATAGTGCAAGTATATTCCAATGAAATAACCTTGGTTATTAAGACAAATATATGAAGTTTTACAAACAATTAATCGCTAAATGTTTGTGAGATTACTAAAAACTAGTTTCAACAAAATACTGAGATTAATCGTGCCCTTCATAAAAAGATATGATAAAAACGTTTCAAGGAACTCATTGAAAAGTTTTCCTACTATTGTACTTTTATCTGTCAGTGAATCATTGACGACTGATCAGAAATGTCTCAGTGCATTCCTATTAAGGTGCAACGAGGTCTAGACTTTACTATGTTGCGCACAAATACCATTGTTAACACTATAAATCGGATTCAGTATTAACGTGAAAATACATCAAGATTAATATACAGGCAGGGTGTGTGCTAAGTTTTCCTATCAAAGTGCCAGCATATTTTACAAGTAAGAAAAAATATCATATAAACGTAAATTTATAAAAGTTTTGTTAAAATATTCGATAAAAAGCGCAAAATGAAAACAAATTGCTACATCACAAAGTCAAAAATATGTAAAAAAAAGTTACATGATCGTAATTTTTAATTGAATGAAGCATTTTTCAATAATTCAGAACTTATTCGAAATGTTTTCTATTGTTGTAATTGCAAAATTAGCATTTACAAAATATTTAATTTATTTCATTCGAAAATTTTTGTTTTTGCGTCTCTTTTGTTTCAGTGACCGTGTTATCTTTTTGTATTCATATTTATCACATCTTAGTCTTTGCTTAGCAAACTTTTTCCTGCAATACGGTAACGAGCAAACAGTCTGCGATGATCTCTAGCAGTAAATACTACTTATGTAAATAGGTCAGATAAATGTTGACATTTTGTTTTTATTTTAATCAAGAATTTATAAAATTTCGTTTGCACAGCAGTTTCTTCCACTTTTAATCGTAGAATATTATGATTGTTTGAAGAGAAAAATTTGGATCACCCTGTATATGTAGTGAAACCACTAGTATTTGAAGAAAGTTTCTTGTGTATAGAAACTAACCCAAATGCTTTAATAATAATTATTTTTCTTGTTACTTTTTAAAAATTATTATAAGATGAATTCTTTTAAATCCAGCAATTTATTTAAATAGTTAAAAGTGTATAAAGAATTACAAACAGCTATGCTCAAGTACTTTCCATTCTTTTCTATTATTTAACAAGATATTTAATAATATTTAATACTAAAGATGTTTAAGAAGTTTACACAAATTTTAAGTTAACCTTAAAATAATTAATTAAACAGAAATTGAATATGTTAGAAAATCAGGGAGAATGGAGAAACTTTGTTCAGTTACTAGCTCGTCTGTAAATCATACACAATTTTCCAGTTATCAGAAAGCGCGTAATGCAATTAAATTTGCATTTCCTGATGTTGAATTATCTAATGTATGTAAATTATGTAAATATTTAATGTAATGTAAAAGAGGAATAGAGAAGCCTTCAGAAGGATCCAATATATTACACTCATAACGTGTCATAAAGTGTCATCCATAATCTTATTTTTATTAAATAGACAATATTTACATGAAACAGTGTACAAACAAAAGTTTATTGTTTACGATTTCTATATCATTGACCAAAGATAATCATTCCCATATGTACCTGCGTAGTCCAATGACAGAGACAATGACTATAGAGTACTATACACGACAGGTTGATTCTTGACGTCACATGGCAGACTTAGAGGGGATGATTGAATTTCGTTGTGGTTGTCAACAGTATGGTTCTGTGGAGCAGTTTCTGATGCACGGTGTGAGGAAAAATACGCGCAGATCCTGTGGAACGATAATTCGATCGTCGCAAATTAATTTTTCAATGACAATTCACGTCGGTCAACTCATTCAGCTATACGCTGCCAGTTGAATGAAGAAACTTTCTTAACCTATAAATGTGCTGGTATGCACTCTGCAAAGTCACTGTACTATAACCCGAATACTGTCAGAGCTTCGCAAATTTTTAGTGTTATTTTCGTAAATCTTATACATTGTTGTCACAAAAATGGCCGACAAGCTGGAACGTCTCAGGTATGTAAAAATAAATGTACGTTCCTTTGCCACGGTCACGTATCTTATCTTAATCTATACATTTTTCCATAATTCCAAATTGACTTTCGTCGAGCAATTGGTATTTTATGTTGTGACTCAAAATGATGAATTAAATTTTAAATGACAAGTCCAAATATTTTTATTTATTGTACGAGATTTTTATTTTATTCATTGTTTGTGTTTTGCAATCAATTGCAAGTAAATTAAATACTTAATATCTGCTACATATTTTAGGATATACTTTGTCACATGGAATGTGGCAACAAAGTATCCTGAAGAAGACTTATATCAGCTTCTTGATGTTAACCGTAATATTCCTCCAAAAACAATGCCAGATTTATATTTTGTTGGGTGAATATAAAATATAATATATAAATTATTATCGCATATGAAACAATGAAGCTAACAAAACAAATTAGGTTGCAGGAAGTGAAAGCACAACCACAAAATATGTTATTAAATATGATGTTTGATGACCCATGGACTAAAGCTTTTAGGTAAGCACTTTAAAGTATTTGAAAGATAATAGTTAAAAATCGAATTGCTTTCATAAATTTAAAATTTCTTTTTTGAAGACAACGTAATTTTAAATATACATTAATTATATTTCTCAGGGATGTATTAAAAAAATATGGCTATGTGAAAGTATGTACACAACGCTTACAGGGTATAGTATTAATTGCATTCTGTTTGCGAAAACATATCACTCATTTAAGATTAATGGAAGCTCAGTATACGCGAACTGGTTTTGGGGGCATGTGGGTAAGAAGAATCTTCCTGATTACATAAATCTTCATTAAAACACCTTTAATAAGTATTTGTTATTCAGGGTAACAAGGGGGCAGTCAGTATCAGATTAAATATATATGGCATCAGTATGTGTGTTGTGAATACACACTTGACAGCTCATGATCATTTATTGGCAGACAGAATATCAGATTATAATACAATACTCGCAAACCATACTTTTAGTTGCGCAGACACATCAAAGATATTATATCATGAGTATGTATATATAATTTTTTTACAAGATGACCATCCTAATAAAGATGATGATCCTAATAATATTGTCTTTTATGTAGCTATATATTTTGGATCGGTGACCTAAATTTCCGACTGTATGGAGAAGACTTAACAGCTACAGATATTAACATGAGGGTTAAAAAAGATCAACTAAAATGCTTATTAGATAGAGATCAACTAAAAAGGGTAATGGCAAGTGGAGAAGCTTTTGCGGAATTGAATGAAAATGTTATTACATTTCCACCTACATACAAATATGAATTTGCTTCTCAAGAATTTGATCTCAAGTAAGACGAATTCCATTTTCTATTGATAATTTTCCAACGTTAATTTTCTTAACTAAAGTTTGTTATATAGACGTAGACCATCTTGGACTGATAGAATTTTATACAAAGTGAATGCTGATGTATATGATGATGTAAAACTTAGTGCAACTCAGCATAGTTACAAAAGTCATTCCAGTTACATACAATCAGATCACAAACCGGTCACAGGGGAATTTGATATTGTTGTAAGATATCTTTTGTGATGTAGAAATAGGTGAAAGGAAATAATTCAATCGTTGCATAATAAAATTCAATTTATAGGTCAGACCCATAGTGCCAGATCACGGTGTAGAGTTCCAACCTGTAACACAATGGTTCATTGATGAAGAAAATTCTGTATCATATAGACTGTTGGGAGATTCTAGACCTACCAGTTGTGATTGGGTTGGTCTCTTCCATAATGATTTTTCTAGTTTAGACGATTACATTGTCTACGAATACGTAGGCAGAGGTAAAATTATATCTTTTTATATAATTTTATATATTTATATATTTTTGTGAATTTACAAAAATTTTTCTTTAGGTAAAGCGCCTTTTGAACGTCATGCAATTACAGAACGAATTTACTTCAGCGATACAGCGCTACGTTCACCGGGAATGTACCAATTGGTTTATGTTGCTCAAAGTGGGAATCTACTTGGAATTTTAGGCGTTAGTCCACCGTTTCCAGGTCACCGCAGACCATAGAACAACGGTTGAACACAATATTTGGCTGCATACAATTACAACTTATGTATATGCAGAAGCACATACAATAACTGTGTGCACATCTATCGTATCCAGTGACCAATTTCACATAAGAATTAGATGTTTTTATTGTGAATATGAATCATTTTATTTAAATTTTGTAACTCTTTGAAGTTCAATATTTTGTATTCCTTTACAAAATATTGAAGTAACAATGTGTCTATATTTTTTAATCTGGATCATAAAAAAAATCCATTGCATTCAAAATGTGCGATATACATACGCGAAATTTATTTAGAGGCATACTCACAGATGGACTGTTTTGGGCTGACCGTAAAAGGAAACTATTCACTTTAATAATAGCCAACTTTACTGTGGGCATGTTTCGGGATTAAATTCTGCGTATGCACGTAATCGGACGATTGAAGGTTCAAATGCACTGTGATGTCACATAATATCGCTTTAACAAAATTTAAAGAGTGAATACAGTTTACTTAGAAATTATAGCTATTAAATGGAGAAAAATATTTTCACGTTACTGTATTATTTACTAATATTGCGTGTTTCTCAGATTACCGCTAGTAAATGTTGTGTGCAATATATTTATATTTTTTAACAGTTTTTTAATTAGTTCTATTAGTCGATAGTGTTTTATGAAACTATAAACATACTTGCATTCCAGAATTCTGAAGGGCGCAGTATCTGTTGAATAATACGGAAATATTTGTGACGGTATAGAGTTATGTGGAAAGCTATATGTACTCAGAATTTGGTACCTGATTTTTGCTTTTTGGGTTATAGCCCGGAAGCATTATTACTTAAATGTTTTACGCTTTAGAGCTTAGATGAATTTTCCGACGTGTTTTTGAGCACTTATCGCTTGTGCACGCGTGCATAACATTTGAATATTAGTTGAACACATTTTTCGACTGGGTTGGAAAAATTGTTACAACGGTTTGGTTGTACAAACCTGCGTATTTTATTTTTATAGTGCGTAGAAACGCATGGAGACGAACAAACATACATTATGGTATAAATGGGGATGCAAATAAAGAACAATATTTTTTACTTGCCAAGCTGATTATTTTATCCTATGTAGAATTAGAATTAGAGAAAAAAAGTAGCAATATTTAAAATAAAACATTTATTTCATAAATTAAAAGTAAGCAAATAACTTAGGAGCTTTACATTAAAATATATAAATTCATTTGGTACTACAATTACGAAACCTAAGATACAAAATCTTTGTAATAGTGAAGTAAAATATAAAGAATGTAGATAAATAATGTGGAATTGTTGCAATACATAGGATGAATCATCTATGATTAAAACTGAAAGTACTTTTGATACTTTTGTTAATACAAAAGGAATTATAAGGAAAAACACTTTCAGTTTACTTTACTTTTTCCTCGAGGTCGTACTTTTCATAATTTCAATAATAATTTCTATTTCTACATTGTAGTTGATAAAAAATACATATATTTTATTAAGTAGAACTTGTAATAATTTCGAAAAGTGTGACTTTTATCAACTACTTTTAGAAATATATGAACAGCTTTGAAACTTTGGAAAACAGTATGGCCATGAGAGGAAAATATTTTTAAGTTTTTATCTTAGATGACTCACCCATAACATTTGGTATACTGTACAAACATGTATGTTCGCATATTCTTTGTTTTTTACAAGTCATGTTCAGTAAGTATTTATCAGAAAATTCGAACAAAAGAATGTCGAGAGTAGATCATGTACATCTCGACGACGCAATACTTTCCAAAACCCCGAACACTTTAGGGTTGTAATAAACAGAGAAAATAGATACACAGTAGGACTAGAAGTTGCTTTTAATAGGCACTGTTTTGGCAAGCGTCCTTATGACAACATAGTATTTTTGAGCAATACAGCTGAAACATTATAACAAATATTTCTTGTAATAATTTCATCAACCTCATCTACGCATATATTCTTACACGCTTGTTATGTTTAATTTGAACATAATATTTCTCAAACAATATATTATTACTTTGCATTTGATCCCAGAATACTGTATTGTTTTCCAGGTGATTTGATGAGTTTGCATGAAACTATCAGTACTAATTGTAGGTTTACTCACTGGCTATTGTTGGTGTTTGATTTTATATCATGCAACATGAAAAACAATTATGTATCTTGAAATACTGAAAGACGCTTCAACATTGTTATATTGGCTTCCAAAAGCGTGAATGTATAATGTAAGGTCCGAATGCAGCTTATCTCGTTTCTCATAGTTATGCAATGAGTCTACGAATATCACAACTTGCATATGTATTGTAAAACGAGTTGCAGACGTTTTTATATAACCAGACATTCCTCAGAAACATGTTATTTTCATCCAAAAACACGAACTTGAATTTATTTTGAACGCAGTTTCAAAATCCACGGAAAATTATGAAATTGCAATTGAAGATCAAGTTCGTTTTCACAGTCCCTGAAAATATAATTTAAGAGTTTTTTTTATCAATGTTTATACAAAATGTGCATGACGCACCGGGTGAAATTAAGAATAATAATATACACGTAAAGTCATGTTTTGCTGAAATGCAAACTCATAAATTAAAAATTGGGCTTTCGTTCGCATACGTTCAACTTTCGAAGAAGCTGTGTACTTATATATTATTAATAAATCACTGTCGCCCTTACTGTACAATAAATTATAAACATTTCTACCAAGATATAACACTGCATAAAATTTCATGTACAGTAATTAAAGAATATATTCGAACATCGTTTAAATAAATCTTGTACACTTTATATACATGTTACTTCGTTAAGAACAAATAAGGAGTTACGTACATCGAACAAAATTGTTTCAGAATCTTTTTCATGTATAAAAACATGTTGCATTACTATTGTCATTTCAGAGCATACGAACTTGACAGTAGTTTTTGAAAATTTCATTGAAAAATGTAAAAATGTGATGGAAAAATGATGTCTATAGTACCAGAAGTTCTTTGTCAATTTTGTCTGAATAAGAATAATATTTTTCTAAAGTAAGTACTAGTAAATACTTTTTGCTACGTTTCTGAAATTTTATTTTGGAAAGTAGCAGTTATTTACAACAGAATATGCGATTATCAATGTCACTTGTCTTTTATTTTAAAGAAAAGCTATTCTTGGCACTATTTTGAAAATACTATTTTGTGAAACACTTGCACAAAATTTTCACAAACGTTTCAATAAAATTTTGGAAAAATCGACTATCGTATTAAACACCCAATTCTCTTGAAGTATCTCCTTAATTTGAATATTTTCGTTATTCACTGTACATGAAAAACAGCCTAATGTAAAATAAATTACTCGCTTTTCATGGTTGATCAAGAAAACCTGAGGAACTCATCGATTTCGTCAGATTTTCGACGGTTCTTAAACTTTAGGTGAGAAGGCACTACAATGTCTCTTCGCAGGAACTTTAACACAATTCGTGGCAGTAGAGTTACAACGATCGTAGCATGCACTGGGTAGAAGTTGCAATTATGCTCACGGAATGATCGTTTGTCCAGGCACAGTATCGCCGTTTAACATCGGAAGCAGATACAATTCCATGCTTCCAGCTTGCGGTGGTGTCGTGTCTATACCACGAAGCTGTTGTATCCTGTGCCAGACGAAGTCTCTTTGTGGTCTTCGTATCACGAACAAACCGAACACAAGAACACCTTGAAGAGCGTTCACCAGGTCCAACATGGACCAGTCGAACGAGTCTGCGTCGATGAACCAGGATATCAGCTCCATTGTCCAGTTCAGACCTATCAGGAAGAAAATGATCAAACTGACGATAGCCATCCTGGTGTAACGTCGGAGGAGGCTTCGATCTTGACGATCCGTTTCCTCGTTCCTTGCTAAGCGTCTCAAGTCGAGATCCTTCTGATACTTCGATAGTTTAATGAATGTCAGAATGAAAAGAGTCACGTTTCCGAGAAGCAGCAATCCAACCGGCACATAGAAGTACGGCATTGCTTCATCGCTTGCTGTGAAACAAACAGGAAAAATAAAAGTCAAGCAATTGCAATTTGCAATGTTTTAGTTAAATCATCATATTTTTCAAGAACATTTAGATACACCGACTGATAGTTGTAATTAAATATTTTAACTGTACAATAATTTTTCTATTCGTGGTTACATGTTGCAGTATTGACAGAAAATAAGTAAAATTTAAAGCTTTATGAAAATTTTAAAAATTTAAGAATGTAGACGTATTATTTTCAACTTATAGGTGTTATTAAATAAAGAACGAATTACTTGATTGCTGTTACTTGCAGCGAGCACAAACAATTTTTATTTTGTTTAATAATTACTAATTGAAAGATAACAATACTATTTGCTAAAAAGCGAATATGTTCGCAGGTTTGAGGTTCATTTTATATATTATATATATGTATAAGTGAAATGAAAGTCACATAATATTTTGTGAAAATCGAGTTCGAAAAGCCTTGGTTATACGCTTGACTATGTCTTGATGCAAAGCATATCTCAATAGACGATCATTTCCTTGCATCTGTAAATATTGATAATGGCGTAACACGTTTCTGTAGTGTTAGTTCTATTATCTTCTTCAAAGTTGTATGCTTATCCAGTGATTACGTAGATACGATACTATTGCACATTACGAAATACATGAAATGATGTGAAGTAAAGTAAAATCAACGAAGCAGTAGGTTGCACGTAAAAAATGCCGACTATTGTTTACCAAGTGGACAATTACCTTGTTGTAAATTAGCTTGCATAATTTATAGCGTGTTTAAACGTCAGTTTACTTTGCTTTTTCAATAGTTAAATTATGTAATTGAATTTATCCAGTCAATTTATCGACTGCAATAATACCGTGTGCGTAGCAAATTGTAATAATGCATCGATACCAACGCGAATGCATTGCTTTAATATCATATTATTGTCGTATATATTACCTTGCTTTGCGTTCTACATATATTGTAGCCTATGTATTCTATGCAGCTCTATGTTCTATATTTAGCGAAATCGAATCTAGCAAGGACAAATTAGATTTAAAACATTCGATGGAACTTACATTCGAACCAGCAACTTTCCTTGCTGATCTTTGGCTTCACGTAAGTGGCAGGTATCGTTGGGCTAAGATCCATGATCATCGAGACGAGAATAAGTATCACCGGGGGACCCCAACACCATAACGAGTACCAAAAGAACAACGTTTCTGCCTTCATCCTGTTGGTTTCGCGTTTCACGTGGCTGCGTACCAGTGACCACATTTCGATGCACATCGCATTTAGCCAAAAGAAGCAGGCAACGAAGGAGAACTGGATAACAAACGCTGAAAAAGTCAATTGTTTCTTAATTGCTCCCCAATGAGCACCGATCAATCCCCCGATGGAATTACTTGTTACATCATTTTAAGTTTAATATTCTATCGATCACGCAATGTACAGTGAAGAAATGTGATGCGATGTGGGAACAGTATTTTTTAATGGTCGAATGATCGTCGTCGGTTTGTTCTGCGGTTTGCACTTTACGATTATGTTTGTTTCATTCGTTTTTGCTACCAGAGGCTCATATTTTATAAGAGATTAGGTTTATACACGCGTTGGAGAAATAAAAAGCTTGTAGCTTCAGTAATTGTAAGTGTTACGTCACGAAAACTCGCGGGTAATGAAAGAAGACGCTTCTTTCATTAGACGCTTCTAACAATTTAGAAGCTACGTTGCTTGAAGTACCATTTTGTAAATTAAATTTCAAGTTTTATGTATTGTTATTCATTATTATATATTCATGTTGATTTCTATAATACTGCTCGAGTTACAATTTTTTGAAAATTTCTCGACGTTTCTAACTTGGAAAGTTTGAACAATATCGAGCCGTTAAAAATCGCTTCGACATATGGGACAATAAAAATCCATCGTTTTCGAATAAAGTACGATAACTTTAATATGCTTGAAGTGCCTATGTGTATAAAACTGATACAAACGTAAACATGTAAACTTAAAGACTACAGGAAGTACTATCGGATTGAATCGCGTGCAATGTACATACTCCATTACAAGATCAAAAGACTAATAGCCGTAAGATAATCATCGAAAAAAAACAAACGAACGTGACAGCGATAACCTCCTCCTGACAGAGATAAAATTCACAACCTTAGTTCTCACAGAAAATTCAATTTATGGCCCGCGAAATCATAATGATACGAGGCACACGTATTATAAATAATTTAATTTTATCAAGAAGGATAACAGCCAATGACAACATACGTTTATCTGCAGTCGATGGATTAAGAAATATCAGATTAGTGACTCACAACATGATTGATGTAAAGCCGATATAGTGTTAAAATTCCGATTCAGAGTTTCATGAAATAAGCACGACTTTTTGTTCTTGAAAATGCACCAACGATTTTATGTATTTGTAACAAAAATTTGTAGACAAAACGGACAACGAAAATACTAGAAATGTTTGCGAACCTTGTTGCGTTATTTTCAACGTACCAAAACAATTACAAGTTGAAACGATTTTCTATCTCATTTACGTTACTCGGAACTGATGCAGAAAATTTGTATTTTCCATAAAAGTCCTCAGTCTAGTAATAGTGTTTCATAACTAGAATGCGGATGTACTATGCGACTTCGTAATACAGTACTGCAGTATCAAGAATTTTATTCTGCGTACAAATGTGTCACGTAAAACTGCGTGAAAAAAATTTTATTTTACTGTTTCTTGCAGAATAGAAATCATCAATAATAACGAAAACTGGATCTTTATGCAAAATAAAAATTGTTCGCGTATGTTGTTGAAAACAGGAGGCGCTTAAGGATTTTTATGTTTCTTCAATAATTTTGTTCAGATGAAAATAATACAAAAGTACTTTAGAATTCGTCAAATGTCTGTACAGTTTTATATTTATATAATCTAATCATTTTTATAGTCTAGTAATTTTATGAATATAAGGCATGCCCAAATTTTCAACATAAAACATTTTACAACATTGTTATCCTTCGACCGTTTAAATGTTGCCACTGTTTTAAATTGCACCTAATCGTTCTCATAAATGCATAAAATCCGCAGTCTAGTAAGAACTCAAAATAATAGCACTGCGATAACGGTAAACTTCTCGTGTGGTTCATGAAAGAATTCAATGGAAGTGAACGTGTCGAAGCGATTCCATTCAGTCGGATTGGTAAATGGTATATCAAAAGGTGCATTTCATGGTACTCTTACCTATACTGGTGCAGGCTTGATCCGATAAATGCGCACTTCCCAGCTGCGTTATCGCCAGCGTAGAAAAAGCGAGTGCTAAACAACCGCAGTAACGGCACAGTGCTTTTCCATAGACGTCCCTTAATTGCGGCGTGATGGTGTACGCGGCGATAGTGAGAATTAAAAACGGCACCGATATTAAGAGGCCGCAGGTGTAGAAGGTGTACCGGGAATCCGCGGCAACTATTAAACGTTCTGGAATCATCGATGTTAATCTTACCGTGGAGAATCAATGGAAACATATTTTATTTAAATGATACCACTGATCCCTTACCCTCCGGAAAGCATACGAAAGTTTTTAATCCGATCTCCGGGACGATCTCCATGCAGTAATCGACGGCAGGCATCAACATCGATGGTTCATGATGCGGCGCAAACACGGAGCCGTTCACCAATAAATAACTGTTGTCATCGCTGGTTTCGTCTGGGTCCAGCATATATCTGAAACAAAAGTATTTATAAGTAACAAAGGTACAATTACCGTGCGGCGGGAGAGTTCTGTGAATTATTAACGGAAAAACCTGCATCCGATACGGAATTTCCTGCTTGCTCGCGGAATTACAAATTGTAAAACAGTTCTACATGTTCTTTTTTTCAAATTGTAATTTTAATTCAGTACGAAATTGTTAATACTCAACTTTCTGTTTCCTTTTTTACGCAATCAAAGTTTAATTATCGCATATTTTGTAATTGATTGACATGTAATTGGTTGACATGGGTATTTGTATAATTTTACTCTTATATGAATCATTGTTTACTGGAATGTATCCAGTGCAGGTTGACAATTTAGTATTCTGGCTTCAATTGTGTGAAAAATGCTTATAATTTATTTGAAACTAAACTACAACGTATAGTTTATAAAACTTCATTTTACTGTTTTATTCGTTCGGCGTCGTTGCAATCGCAAACGCGTGCATTCATTCTTTCAGGAAGTGTTTCTAATAACTTTTTAGTGATGAAACTGCGACGTGTTAGTTAATAAAACTTCATTTTATTGTTTTATTCGTTTGAATTCGTTGTAAATGCAAGTGCACGCGTTCGCTCATTGAGGAAGCGTTTCTAACCATTTTTTAGATTAAAAATACGATGAATGTTTAATTGAGACATTCGTTTTACTATGTTTTATTCATTTGAATACGAATACATTATAGATGCAGATACATGCATTCACTATTTCATTGTGACAGATACGTTTCATTCGCGTGCTTGCAAATGATCGATGAAACTACTAAAATTTCATTTTTCACTGTCCGAAACGTTTAAACAATCTATTTTTATTTCTGGTTTTTATGTAAAATTACTAATAACTTGTTAAAATATGTACAAATCAAACACTTTGGAAAACTATTCATTTTTTTATATAATTGCAAAACAATTGGATTTCATTAAATCGATCACAATATTTTAAATTGTATAATTGCCCAAAGCATTGTTATCAGAATCGTATGTATATTGCGAAAGCGTTTACCGGTTAAGGTGACTTTTTAATACCCGTTTATAATTTACATTCGAATCGGTAAACATTGATAATTATCATTGAAATAGTATTGCAGTTGACTGTCTAGTAGATAAAGTGAAACTGAATTATTCATCGTATATTCTCAAAAGTGGATATCCAATAAATCTATGTCTGATTTGTTTTGCCATTGAAAAGGAAACTAGTTAAATAAAGCTGCGTTAAATAAAACTATATTAAATAAAAGGAGACTAGGTAAACGTTGTCGAATATGTGACAACGGTTTTTGTATACTCGGTATACATAAAGCATAATGACTGAAATACGTTTAATCAAGTCTCTCAAATTACTTGAACATTTAACGATGTCTAATGGTCGCGAAGAATGTTACGCGTCAAGACTCACCTTTTGTATTTACAAGGATCTCCAGTGATCGCGACAAACGTGCTGTGTTCGTCGCCGGGAATCTCGTAGCCGCTTTTGTTGAAATTATAAAATATCGGAGAGAAATTGTACTCGGTTGTGGAATGGATTACACCGCAGGCCGCGGTATTGGTTCCATTTTTTATGAAAACTTCGCCATCCGGACAGCACTTTGAAACCAATGGTAAATTTTTATATTCTTCTGGTATTGCGGTCCCATTTTCCTATAAAACGAAAATAAAAAAGCCTCGTTGTTAATTACCGTTATCATTATCAGTTGTCAGTTTCATTCATGAATTGTGTACGAGTACACGCAATATATTACAATCTATGAGTATTGAAAAAGATACAAGACGAAGAATCATTCCAAGAAAATCAATTCACGAGAAATAGATAATATTTATCAAGTGAACAGAACTTATAAGTTCCGGAATTTTTCAATGAATTAAATAAATACTGTGAATTGCGACGGTCTCCGTACGACGATTTCCTACACAACGTAATTAATTTTTCATGTTTATGCACACTATATTAATCTTGACATTGAATTATCTATTCAAGTGTACGTAGATACTTGAATGTTAACCAATCTGCATGATTTTTCATAAAGAAAAATTTCGTATATTTTGACGTAATTACCCATTGCACGTTGACTTGCATGCTAAAGAGAATAGAAACCAGAATCTTGCGAGTATCGCATAGCGCTTTCAGTAAAGTATTTACCAAATTTTCGACTGAAGTAAGTAATCACGAAAATACATACGATGCCGTAAAACGTGTGTCATTTAGCATGAATATTCATTGAAGTCATTATAATTTTCTTGGAAACATCTTCTTTTCATTTAATAAATATAATGTGTCAGCTCGAGACGAATTAATTAACCGAATAATTGGTAAAATTTAACCCCAGAAATTCCTACGAGATCAAAGTGATTTAATTAACGAAATTGAAACTAGGAAGTTAAGATTTATCGTAGTGGATGATATTTGAATTCTTTTGCATTCTAATTATTCCTAATTATTTGCTTGAATATATTACAGTAAAAATGAATTTTGAAATCTAGTCAAAATTTGGGGTCACTCTTATGAGACTGACGCGATACTCGACGTGTCAAGCTATAAAAAGCTGCAAGCATTTCAATTTTCGTGTTTTATTAACTTCTAACGGAACAACTCGTGTCACAGCAGTTAACCCTTTGCACTTCGTTGGCGCCGCTGTGGCGTTATTCATAATCTGTTGCTTCCTAGCAATATATATATATCAGAAATTCTATTTCACTTACATTAGAGTGAAGCATATCTTTTCATAGAAGTCAGGTTTGGTTTTCAAGGGTTTTGCTAGGAAAGTTAAAGTTGTCGATGTCATAAAATAATTTTCAGAGAATGAAGAGTTAATTAAGTCGTGATCTTTTTCTCTGGTGTTTAGAATGTTTAAACTAAATTAAGTAAAATTAACAACTTGCTAGGATTCATAAATAAATACGTTTACATTAGCTCTTATGAATATCAAGAATAATTTATTACATAAGAATAATATTTACCTTTTATTTAAAGAAATTTCTATCGAAAATATAAATAATAACTATTCTTTATTTTGAGTTTTTTTTAAGTGAGTTTGTTGTAAAAAACACAAAGTATAAGTTTAACCTTCTAGTGTTGACCAAATTTTGTATGGCTTGTTTCGCAAAGTGATAAGACGTCAAATTGACGTATGCCACCAGTTGTATGTTAATACAGACGATTAATGAAGACGAAATTTCTTCGTTTGAAAGATGCTTCAAAATAAGTAAAATAAGAACTCTCAGAATTCTAATGCATAATAAAACATCATATTGATTAATAATGTTACTCAAATAACAAAAAAGATATTTCCAGTGAAAATAACGATATTTATCGAATTTTTTGAATTTACTAATGTACAACATAAATTTCCGAGGAATTCTCGCGTTTGTAACATAATGCAGAAAAAATGTATGTTTATATAAAGATGCACAATTGAAACTTTTTATTCTTTACGTACAAAAATATGAAATATTAATAAAGATTCATAATTTAAACATTTATTTCTTCTGATTTAGAATATTTCCATTCTAAGCGATTATTTTCATTTTTTACATTCGAAAATATGAAATATTAATAAACATTTAGCAATTTATTGAGTGCAAGCATATTTTGTAATGTAAAAATTGTTTTTATTTATAATATGACTATTTTTAATAACATCTTAAAATTCTCATTCAAGTGCAAAGAGTTAACAAACTAAAAATGTCTACAAAGCAAATAATAAACGAAGCAAAATAAATTAAACAAAACAACAGTAAACACTGCTTCGTGCACTTTTTCGTTAGTAGAATTGCAGTAAATCCGAAAGCGACTGTGTGCCACTGTTATTATATGCTTGACACGCATATTTGTACTTCTGCGAAGTAATGATAATTGACCACTTAGACGTAAATTTCCAAAATCACTGTAGTTGTGATCTAAGAAATATATTTCTTAGCAGTTGAATGTATCTTGTTAAGCAAGTGAATTTAATTCAATAATCTACACAGATAGCGAGAACGTTGAAATTAATTTGTAGTCTACATTTTTTCTTCAAGCAAAATTTCGAAATTGATTATGTCATTTCACTTTCTCCATGGAGAGCTTCCAAATCCGTCAAAATTTCTTTAGAGACTCAGACTCTACTAATTATTACATAATGATTACTAAGGCTAAGAGTATAAGAACGCGTTTCCAAAATTTGCTCGAACAATTTTGGGAAACGCTTGCAAATTTCAGTATTCGGTTCTAAAATATCAAAATTCTTCTTCTACCGTACTCCGATAACTCTACTTAATTAACTCTGTCTAGGTCAGTATACTTTTGAGGTCGCGTTCCGATTTACCGTGTCTTCAAATCTAATTTCAGTTTAAGCCACACAGGTATTTCGTTCTCCTGTTTTTTTATACGCCATCAAAGAAGTCCTACGTCGTGACATCCAACTCTGTATTCACATATCAAGGTAAATTCAATTCTTTTATCACTAAATTCACCGAGCCGGTCAAAGTGGCTAATTTCACATCTCTTATTTTAGAATCGTTAAAATTATAATTATCTCTCCGCAGGAACTGACAGAATTATTTTCTTAATCCACAAGCACACGTTCCGATAAATATAGCGGGAAATCAAGATAAACGCATTTTTGCCACCGTTATGAAAGAACGCAATTCACTTTTACTGCCTGGTAGGTTTAACGTTAAAAATTGTAAAATCAACGGTGAATTATATCTAGCTATTAATATTTCCTGGTTTCGAGTTGCACAAATTTCTGTATACCCGTATTAACGCTTTACCTGCCGCCAGCCTATTAATAACAGGCTTTTCAGTTATCGTTATGTACGTAAGAGAAGCTCAATAATTTTCTTTTAAATAACAATTTCACAGGAGAAGTTATCGCACAATATACCGGATAGTATGTTGACATGTTTTAAAATGCAATAATTTGTTTAAAACTGAACGTCAACCGATTCCAATAAAATTTTCAGCATGCATATAAGTTACCGAGATCTACGAAAGACACTGTTTAAATTTTCATTATAGGCTCGGATAAAAATGTTACAAAACGAGTGTGTTTGTACTTGTTTTTACCATTTCAAGTAGTAATGGAATTTAATGGAATTTAACAGAATTTAATAAAATTTAATAGAATTTAGAGAATAGAGCTTAGAATTAATAGAATTTAATAGAATAGCAAAATTAGAAACAAAATTACTTTAATCATTGTCTAGTATACTGTTCCCTCTATCTTCTAAAAAAAATTCAAGTCACTTGACCCAGTTTTCAGAATGTTATTACGTTTTGAAACGTGTCAACATACTTTCCGGCGCGAGTGCAAATCCAGATAATTTATCGATGTATCAATAAAATTGCTGTTCCTTCCGAGATATTTGTTAAGAAATTCCCATCTGTCGATCGTCGATCTATCGATCTTAAAACTGCCGATGGATAAAGTGAGAAAATTCGGACCGTAAAAGGTTAAATCTACCCACCCGAGGAATCCAGTATATCGTCGGCGTTTCATCTTTCACGCGATCATAGCAAACGGCCAGGTCCCAGAGAAGAATGTGCATCAACACTAACAATGATTTCGTATTTCCAGGCATTGTTCTTCGAAAGCTTTTGCGCTCTGGCTCTGCCGACACGCACTGTAAAACTTTTACAACGTTTCACGGATGCGCGCGAACCAGTTCCACCACCGATGTTTAGCTTTTATGCTTTCTCTCTTCGCTTCGTCGATCAAAATTTCTGGCTTGGTCGTCAAGTGTCGAAGAACACGGACAGCGAGAAAATTTGGAGCTTCCGATACGTCAGCAACATCTTCGATCCGTCATAATCTCCCGTGTGCGATCCTCTCGATTATCCGACCGAGGTTTGTATACTTGGCACAGTCGTCGGATACGCGAAATCTCTTCTCCTAGATTTATGGCGAACTGTTCCGGGTATCTGATCAAGTTTATTTGATCGGCACACGCGCCCGTTTTACGAGTGACCCGAACTACATGAATCAAGAAGTCTCCTCGGTGCTCCTCGTTTGAGATTCAACGTATTAATAGATATACTTCCTTGAGACCTCCGAGCACTATCGATCCAGAANAGCCTATTAATAACAGGCTTTTCAGTTATCGTTATGTACGTAAGAGAAGCTCAATAATTTTCTTTTAAATAACAATTTCACAGGAGAAGTTATCGCACAATATACCGGATAGTATGTTGACATGTTTTAAAATGCAATAATTTGTTTAAAACTGAACGTCAACCGATTCCAATAAAATTTTCAGCATGCATATAAGTTACCGAGATCTACGAAAGACACTGTTTAAATTTTCATTATAGGCTCGGATAAAAATGTTACAAAACGAGTGTGTTTGTACTTGTTTTTACCATTTCAAGTAGTAATGGAATTTAATGGAATTTAACAGAATTTAATAAAATTTAATAGAATTTAGAGAATAGAGCTTAGAATTAATAGAATTTAATAGAATAGCAAAATTAGAAACAAAATTACTTTAATCATTGTCTAGTATACTGTTCCCTCTATCTTCTAAAAAAAATTCAAGTCACTTGACCCAGTTTTCAGAATGTTATTACGTTTTGAAACGTGTCAACATACTTTCCGGCGCGAGTGCAAATCCAGATAATTTATCGATGTATCAATAAAATTGCTGTTCCTTCCGAGATATTTGTTAAGAAATTCCCATCTGTCGATCGTCGATCTATCGATCTTAAAACTGCCGATGGATAAAGTGAGAAAATTCGGACCGTAAAAGGTTAAATCTACCCACCCGAGGAATCCAGTATATCGTCGGCGTTTCATCTTTCACGCGATCATAGCAAACGGCCAGGTCCCAGAGAAGAATGTGCATCAACACTAACAATGATTTCGTATTTCCAGGCATTGTTCTTCGAAAGCTTTTGCGCTCTGGCTCTGCCGACACGCACTGTAAAACTTTTACAACGTTTCACGGATGCGCGCGAACCAGTTCCACCACCGATGTTTAGCTTTTATGCTTTCTCTCTTCGCTTCGTCGATCAAAATTTCTGGCTTGGTCGTCAAGTGTCGAAGAACACGGACAGCGAGAAAATTTGGAGCTTCCGATACGTCAGCAACATCTTCGATCCGTCATAATCTCCCGTGTGCGATCCTCTCGATTATCCGACCGAGGTTTGTATACTTGGCACAGTCGTCGGATACGCGAAATCTCTTCTCCTAGATTTATGGCGAACTGTTCCGGGTATCTGATCAAGTTTATTTGATCGGCACACGCGCCCGTTTTACGAGTGACCCGAACTACATGAATCAAGAAGTCTCCTCGGTGCTCCTCGTTTGAGATTCAACGTATTAATAGATATACTTCCTTGAGACCTCCGAGCACTATCGATCCAGAAATTCTTCACTGATTATTGTCACGTTGTTATCGATTGAAGACCCAACGATCACCGAGATAATAGCAATCTGCTCGCCGGACACGAGTATCGTAATCGATATAATAAAATACGATTCTCCCAGGTCCGCGCGTTTTCCAGCGACTTAGCGTAACGCACAAGCTGGATTCAGTCGGTGGTCGATTAAAGACGATTATGATCGATTCCGAATTGGGATGCAGCTTTCTAAACCCTGAAACATGTGATAGTTACGTTATTCGATGATCGCTCTCTGTTACTGTTTCATTTATTATCGGTGACAGCGATCTGTTATTGTTAGCCACTTGTACTATTACTATACTTCTACTATTATATTATATTTGTACTATTATACTATTATACTTGTACTATTACTATATTTCTCCATAATTCGCGCTCAAAAATTGCGCACAAAAATAGACAATTGAGAAGAGATATGATTATTCGAGCCTTACGGCTCGTTTTAACAGTTACCGATTGTCAACAACTATAAAAACGAGACACAAAGCTCGAATAATCGTATATCTTCTTCCCAAATTGTCCACTTTTGTGCGCAATCTGAGCGCGATTTAGAGAGAAATTACTGTATATGGAACTCTCTTTTGCAAACGAGGACCCCGAAATTGTTGCAATCAATTGAATCACTTTATGTTATTCTTGTATCAATAAAATGGTACGGTAAGCCTCCTTGAACGTTGGTACTTGCAAAATACTTATACAGTTTTAGCATAAATTCGTGAATATTAACTTAAAGAAATTGTTTTTTTACATCTTACTTGATTAAATGTACTTTACTAGAGCAACGATACTACACCATGTCATACGCAATGTTTTATTCAATGTTTAATCGTTCTAAGCAATGACGAGATTTATTTAAACTTCGTACGGTTTCCATTACAATATATATATACAATCAGTCACGAAAGTGTTCGCATATCTTTTAAAACGTAATAATTTGTTTCGAACTGGACTGAAGAACTTGAATTTTTTCTTAGATGATAAACACAATGACGAAAATGCTATTTTCAAATTTGCTATTTACTTGGAATGACAAAAACAAACAAAAACATTCTCGTTTTTAAGTTTTTTATATGAGCCTATAACGACGATTTAAAAAATGCCTTTCGTAAATCAATTTCGACACGACTTTTGACACTTTCGATCAGGAACTGTAGAAATCTCGTTTTTTTTAAATCTTTCAACACGTCCAGCTTGACTCTGGATTAACCGGTTTCGTTGAAATTTTAGGCTCAGATGAAAATGTTAGAAAACGCGAGTTAATTACTTTTTTATCATTCCAAGTAATAGCAAAATTAAAAAAAAAAAGTATTTTATCATTCTAGACATCGTCTAAAATTATTCAAGTTATTTAGTTCAGTTTTAAGAAACTTTCGTGGCCGACTATGTTTGAGTGAGGAAGTTTATCAAAAGAATTGCTTATAGAAACATTTTTATAATTATATTTTAAACATTTTTATATCATTTTGGACCGGTTTCGTAGTTCTAATATTAATTGCATTAGTAATTTTTGTTCTATTTTCCGGTTCATACATTCTTACCGATAAAAATGTTTAAATTAAACGAAACTTATGCCCTACGATGTTTTAAAACAATAACCCTGAACATAAACTCACTTTCTACGCAAACTCCGATTGAGATAGCGACAACTATTTTGCAAATATCCGTTATCTAGGAAGATCACCGCATGAAAAACGATTTCCACAAAATGATTGATAGTTTCATAACGATCGAAATTAATCCACCGCAGCGAACTATTACTAAACCGATAAGAGCGCTAAATCGATCGAGTCATTCTGATTAGACGATAGCCGATCGATAAGAGAACTTTCGGAAAAAATGTTTAACGTCATCTCGAAACGACAGCGAGTCTGATGAATGAATGGTCGTTGACCTACGTTTCCCGCTATTTCGTTGGCAAAACTCGCGACTAGATGTGCACGCTGAAACCACGATCATGCTGCATCGAACATTGTTCCCCGGATTCTCGCACCGGCTATTAACCATACCGGTTACTGTCGCGCAACCGTGACGACAGAATAATGCTGCCGGCACGCGTGATTAACAAGAAACGACAGAAACCGACAGAACTGTCCGTCGATACACTTACTTATTTCATTTTCTCCGATTCGTTCGATATCCAGCCGAAGAGATCGGCACAGGTGAATCGTGTAAATTCAAGGTCCGTAGACTTTCGACCTGTCGAGATCGAAGCGATCGTCTGGATCGAAAACGATGGCTTCTGCCTGCCGCGGCGTTTATTATCACAGAATCCGGGGCAAACTACAAACACCCGCAATCACGGAATTTCGAAGATAAGAAACGATTTTTCGCTGTAATCTGGGTAGACGATTTCGGCCGTTGGAATTCCCTCGAACTGGTTTCACCCAGGAATGTAACTTTAATTGCACTATCTGAAAGGGATCAGACACGCCGGCTCATCGGGACGGAGAGGGAGACAGAGTGTAAAAGAAATTCACGTGGTTCACCGATCGACGTTCCGGAACACACTGACCGTAGCCTCCGAGGCACGAGTCTTTATCTATCGGTGCACGATTTCTCGTAAGATGCACACATCATCAAAGATTCAGTAGACCGGTGCCGTAATTGCAGGTCTTTACGGTGAGTTATAATACCTTGAACTGAGCTTCGAAAAGAATGATACGTGCACGGGAAAAGATTCTGAGAAGGATACTACTAAAAATACGAAATTGTAGCGACATCGGTTATTACTGAACTGCGGATTTTTTAGCAAAATTAAGATCGTCTACGTTCACACTGATACGTAGGTCCGATGAAAAGTTAGTTATTTTAATCAGTTATACACGATAGAAAGATGTTCTCCAATTCTTTCGTCTTCACGTTTTTGTGTTTCCTTTAATAATTTTGATCGGAAATTCGAAAGCCTATTTATTATTAGACTTGTGACTTATATACTTGTAAAATTAGCCTGCTGATCTTTTTGCAAGGTAAAAATTCTCTGCAGCAATTGCGAGGAACAACGCTCTAGTAAACAATTACTTCTTCGTTTAACTAAGTATAATAACTCAATGATAATGTGTCAATATTCCCCACTCAATATTTGTACTATTTTATACGTTATTTACATGTTTCTAACACATAAATGTATTGTAAACATGCGCAAGCTGTAAATGAAAAATGAGCTAGGATCTCTGTACAAACTTATTTGTTTCATGGAAATGAATATGATTTTCGCTAAAAATGGATTTCTTATTTTTCGGAAAATATGTTTTAATAAAAATATTAAATATGTTTTAATTTAGCTTTAATGAATTATTGTATAGTGTAAAATATTAATGCAGTTTGAAAATGTTTGAATATGTAT